ATGTAACAAAAAATAAACCGGAAGATAAACCACTTTAATTGACATGGTATTTTAACATGATAAATTTAGTCAACAACTGAATGTAATAACTTGTAATGTAATCCCATTTTAGGGAAAAAAATTTAGCTTAGACTTTATTTTAACGAGGTAGCACTATTAAAACTAAAACCATTTTACACCCCCAAAATACTAATGATAATGGAAGGATTGATAGAAAGAAGGAAACATGCATATAATATTGATACAGCTAACTTTGAAAGACATGCCCTTGCAATGAAAATGAAGTCTATCGGAATCAGGGCTTAATATGAGCATGCTAGGGATGCTTTTGCACTTTGTTCACTGTCCCGGGCACCGAGGAAAGGTGGCATCTACCAGGGCTCACAGAGCGGAAAGAGTCAAAAAATCAGGCAAAGCTGAGTCAGGACCATGCCTGCAGGGAGAGCCAGGAAAATGTGGTGGAGCTTAGCTTGAGATGAGTTCCACATGCCAGTCAGTCCTACCTAACTCTGAATTGTGCTTGTCTTTTGTCATCCTTGAGAATTAAGTGCAATCCTGGTAAATGCTAATGCCTAGTCTCTGCATTCTGTGATGAATTATTGAATGAATTTACTGTCCATAAGTTCAGTTCAGTTCAGTCACTCAGTCATGTCCAACACGGTGAGACCCCATGGACTGCAACACGCCAGGCCTCCCTGTCCATCACCTGGAGTTTACTCAAACTCATGTCCATTAACTCTGTGATACCATCCAACCATCTCATCCTCTGTCGTCCCCTTCTCCTCCTGCCTTCAATCTTTCCCAGCAGCAGGGTCTTCTCAAATGAGTCAGTTCTTCACATCAGATGGCCAAATATTGGAGTTTCTGCTTCAATATCAGTCTTTCCAATGAACATTCATGACTGATTTCCTTTAGGATAGACTGGTTGGATCTCCTTGCATCCAAAGGATTCTAAAGAGGCTTCTCCAACACCACAGTTCAAAAGCATCAATTCTTCAGTGCTCAGTTTTCTCTATAGTCCAATGCTCACATCCATACATGACTACTGGGAAAACCATAGCCTTGACTAGACAGACCTTTGTTGGCAAAGTAATGTCTCTGCTTTTCAATATGCTATCTAGGTTGGTCATAACTTTCCTTCCAAGGAGTAAGCATCTTTTAATTTCATGGCTGCAATTACCATCTGCAGTGATTTGGGAGCCCCCAAAAAATGAAGTCAGCCACTGTTTCCCCATCTATTTGCCATGAAGTGATGGGACCAGATGCCATGATCTTAGTTTTCTGAATGTTGAGTTTAAGCCAACTTTTTCACTGTCCTCTTTCACTTTCATCAAGAGGCTCTTTAGTTCTTCTTCTTTAGTTCTTCCTGCCATAAGGGTGGTGTCATCTGCAAATCTGAGGTTACTGATATTTCTCTTGGTTATTGATATTCGATCCAGCTTGTGCTTCCTCCAGTCCAGCATTTCTCATGATGAGTGCAATTGTGTGGTAGTTTGAGCATTCTTTGGCATTGCCTTTCTTAGGGATTGGAATGAAAACTGACCTTTTCCAGTCCTGTGGCCACTGCTGAGTTTTCCAAATTTGCTTGCATATTCAGTACAGCACTTTCACAGTATCCTATTTTTAATATTTGAAACAGCTCAACTGAAATTCCATCACCTCCATTAGCTTTGTTCGTAGTGATGCTCCTAAGGCCCCCTTGACTTCACATTCCAGGATGTCTCGCTCTAGTGAGTGAACGCACCATCGTGATTATCTGGGTTGTGAAAATCTTTTTTGTATGGTTCTTCTGTGTATTCTTGCCACTTCTTCTTAGTATCTTCTGATTCTTTTAGATCCATACCATTTCTTTCCTTTTTTGAGCTCATCTTTGCATGAAATGTTCCCTTGGTATCTCTAATTTTCTAGAAGAGCTCTCTAGTCTTTCCTATTCCATTGTTTTCCTCTATTTCTTTGCACGGATCACTGAAGAATGCTTTCTTATCTCTCCTTGGTATTCTTTGAACTCTGCACTTAAATTGGTATTTCTTTCCTATATGATCTGTATATTTCTTCCTGTATAGGATAAAATGATAAGAGAGAGAGAAATGCACCATCACAAAGAACATAAGAATAGAAACACACATTTGAACACATATGTGTGGTCTCTGAACAACAGACCAGCAATAGACTGCAGAGATCTGAGGTTGGAGCAGAGTTCTTAGCACTGGAGTCCAAACCAATGAGCCCATGGAACATGATACGGGAGTAGGTGAGCTGTGGTTTTCCTGTTGATAAGATTGTGTTTGCTTAAGCTAGTCAGATATATAACTATCATATTACTAGTGATTGCAACTACAGTAACATAGCCACTTTTGATTATATGATAAAAAAGTTCATACCACATATTTTAAGGTAAAGTTCCCATGCCTATGGGACTGTGTGTGTGTAAATATATGAAGAGTATATATATATATATATATATATATATATATATATATATGTGTGTGTGTGTGTGTGTGTGTGTGTGTGTGTGTGTGTAAATATATGAAAAGTATATACCAATACACACAAATTAAAATCCTAACCCTCTGTATTTCAGAATGTGACTGTTATAGCAATGGATTTTTCATGGATACAATTAACTTGAAGTCTTTAGTTGTTGTTGCTAAATCACTAAATCACTTTAGTTATTCTTGCTAAAGTCACTAAATCAGTTCTGACTCTTGCAGCTCCATGAACAGAGAAGCTTGATGGACCCCATTGACTGTAGACCACCAGATTTCTCTGTTCATGGGCTTTCCAGGCAAAAATACTGGACTGTGTTGCCATTTTCTTCTCTAGGAAATCTTCCTGACCCAGGGATCAAACCCACATCTCTAGTGTCTCCTGCATTGGCAGGTTGATTCTTTGTCATTGCACCAAGTGAGAAAACACAATTCTGTGTACTTCTCGTCAATGATTTATAAATTTATAAGATGCATAATTGTATCTGTTTTCTCTTGTTTACAGCTAGTTTATTTTTTCTATATTTGTGTTTATTTTTCTTTAAAACTTAAAAATTTAAAGCTTAACATTTATTTTTGTGATGTTGATGTCTGTTTAAGAATCTCTTCAATGCTGAATCATACACACATTATTCAACAACATATTTGCATAGTTTGGATATGCAACTATAACTAAAATCAGTGAACATGGTTTAGTTTTGATATTTAGTAGAAGAAACTGTATGAATAGCACAGAGGAGAGTATCCCAAACAGGAGAAATAAGAGCAGAGTCATTGTATAGGAATAAATATAATAAGGGCTTCCTTGATGGCTCAAATAGTGAAGAAGAACCTGCCTGCAATGCAGGAGACCCAGGTATGATCCCTGGGTCGGGAAGATCCCCTGAAGTAGGAAATGGCAACCCATTCCAGTATTCTTGCCTGGAGAATTTCATGGACAGAGGAGCCTGGTAGGCTATAGTCCATGGGGTTGCAAAGAGATGGAGACAACTGAGCTGCTAGCACTTTCAAATACAGGTTATATAGGTAAGAGGGTTCTGCACAAGAACTTTAGAATTATAATTTATACTTAACCCCAATTCAGACAAGTATCATTAGGTTGGACTCTAAATCTCAGAAGATTGTCTTGTATTTAAAAATAAGGATGCTCCTTTAAGAAGAGAATGAGTTTGTGCAAAATTGTGATTAAAAGTTAATAAATACAAATGAGTGAAAGCAGGAAAGGAGAACACTACATTTTAAAGTTATTTCTGAAGAACACATATCCTTGCAATGAAAATGAGGTCTATTGGAAACAAGGATTAAACTTGCATGTAGGAGAGACTCTTCTGTAATGAGGTTCTTGGGCCTGAGCATGAGGAGTGGGGGTTTATGCAGGGGCATATTGGAGTTGAAAGGGTTCAAGGAAAAGAGAGCTAAAATCTGAATCAGTACCAGACGTGTAATCAAATCAATAAAGGTGGTTTGGGACTCAGTTGTGGAAGGAGCTGAATACACAGGCCAGTTGTACATTACTCTCTGAATTGTGTTTGTCTTTTTTTAACGTGTGATCTTGATAAATGTCAACACCTAGACTTTATTTTCTGTGAGAAAGTAAAGATTTGTTTAGCACTCCAGCTCTGAATGAAATAACAAAACTGGAAGAAATGCATCCTTACAAATCTGCATGCTAGTTAACACCAGGGATTTGAACATGTTATCTATGGTCCCCAAACCTCAGCCTGGGATTAGATCGTTGCCAGTGAATGAATTTAAGGACAGATCAGAATGCTTTGACATGAATTCAGATACCGATGACTCCATGGTATGGGATCATATGAACTATGGGTTTGCTATTGATTATTGGCATTTGATCAAGCTCGTCAGATATAATGTTAATTATAATTGTGAATATTGGGAACTATACACTAAAATTATATCAAGATGAAAGAAGAAAAGAATACATAATATGCTAAAGTTACATCTACATATGCCTGTGTGTGTTTGTGTTATATCAATCAGCATGTTTTTACATACAAACGTATATAGGTGTGTGTGCATGTGTGTATGAGTGTCTGTGTGGACACCTCTGTAAATAGGATAATATTAAGGGGTAAATGGATGATACAATTTTTCTGCATATAAATATAACATAGATAGAAGATTAGCTATGATGTTTATATTAAAATATCCAGAAAGAAGAGACATATATTAATAAAGTAAAAACAATTTTCATTGTGTCTTCTTGATATTATGTACATAACCTCAGTCTCAATTTTGTAATATTTACTCTGAAAATAATACTTTATTGATAAAGCAATTTTTCCAAAACACTTTTTTCATTGCCTCTTTTACATCTTTGTTCCTTAAACTATAAATGATGGGATTCAGCATTGGAATCACAACACTGTAAAACAGTGACACGATCATGTCATGGTTCAAGGCATAGCTGGAACTTGGTCTCACATACATGAAGAGAACTGTACCATGAAAAATGGACACTCCAGTTAGGTGAGAGCCACATGTAGAAAACACTTTCCTTCTCCCTTCAGCAGAATGCATCCTCAGAATGGCCAACAGGATGAAACCATAGGAGATCAGGACACTCAGGACAGTGACTATCTCAATGGAACCCACGAAGTAGAAGAGCAGAAGCTGGTTAGTGTGGGTGTCAGAGCAAGAAATAGCGAGGAGGGGAGGGATGTCACAGAACACATGTCTGATTTCATTGGAGGCACAGAAGGAGAGGCTGAAAGTAGCCACTGTGTGTACAGAAGCATGCAGGATGCCACCAACATAGGAAGCAATGATGAGTGGCACATAGACTCTGGGCGCCATGCTGACTGGATACCGGAGGGGGTTGTAGATGGCCACATAGCGATCATACGCCATTGCAGCCAAGAGAAAGCATTCTGTGGTCCCAAAAGTAACAGCAAGAAACATCTGTGTTGCACATTCAAGGAAGGAAATGGCTTTGTTCTTTGACATAAAATCTACTAACATTTTGGGGGTAATTACTGAAGAATAGCAGGCATCCACAGATGAAAGCACACTCAGAAAATAGTACATGGGGTTGTGGAGACGGGAATGCAGAATGACCAATACAACCAGTCCTAAATTTCCAATCAATGTGAAGAGGTAAATTGCTAGAAACAAGAAGAATAAGATGATTTGCAGTTCAAGATTGTCTGTGAAGCCTTTCAGTAAAAAGGATGTTACTTCGGTGACATTCTTCATCTTGATACCTCATGGAACAGACGCAAAGATTTTTCAAAACTTGCAATTCATTTCCTACCAAAAGAGTGAATAACTCTGTGACTCAATGGAATGTGATTTGGGTCCTCATATTTATTTTTTGCCAGAGTATGATTTCCCAGTTGTAGATCAGAACATGGTGACAAGACAGCGGGTCAAGCGTTCATGCCACTCACTGAAGACTCACATGGGAAAATACGTGTGCTCCTCACTCATGGGCAGATCCAAGGGTCTACGTCCACTAGATAAACCAGCTAGTTTACCACTGAATCCTATTAGTTGTTTCCATATTAAGCTAGCTTAAAACTCCAAATCATTGGTTAAAATCAATTTCCTTCTCCCATACAGTAACATGGTCTAGTATATCTGTGTGCAGATACCTGGAATAGGTTATCAGCTTTCTAGTTACTTTCAGTAGTGTGTAAAATCTTTTCTTATAATTTGCTTATCTATAGAATGAAACATTAATATTGATTTTACAAAGTGGAACAAATATTGTAATATAAAATACATTAATAAAGCTGAATCTTCAAAATATTGTTAAATAGGTAATGCTAAATTAGGTTGGTCTTGCAGAGTAGCAACCTCTCAGACTGTAACATTTTATGTGCTATTTCCAAATTCTTTCTAACTCTATTAGCCCTTATGAGGTGTATCCAAATGAAATAATCATGATTTTTAAGATAATGGGCCATGATTGAATCAAACAATGATATTGAAACTTATATTCATTTAAATGTATTTCTGAGATACTTAGCATTATATTGTGTTTTTTCATTTACTAAATAATCAGTCATATTTATTATTTTCAGATATCTAAAGTCTTTGATTTTCAGCGGTCTCAAGATCTGTGGTGAAAATGTGAAGAAATTTTCTGAAAACAAAAACAATTTTTAAAAAATTATTATACTTGTTTAGATACTGTTTACTGTGGGTCCAGTGAATTATCAACTAGACAATGTGAGTCACAATTAAAGTCACTTATAAAAATTGTACCTAAATATGACAACAATAAATATAAACATAAATTTAATCCTTTGTATTTTCTTTGCTGTATTTATTCATCTATGTGATAGGAAACAACTGTTAACAAAAGGATTGCACAGCATATCTGATCTTGTTAGGTCCAAACTCCTAAAATATTCAGCAAATGCCCTGAAGATCTCTCTTACCTCAGCAGAAGCAGTTTTGATGTCTTATGAGTATAATTAATTTAAACTGCTTATATCTACCTTCTCAACTATTGCTGAGACCAAAGGAGAATCCCCAAGGGGAATATGCTCCAATTATGATCTAGTTCAAATTAGCAACATGATGACTCACTCAATAAAAAAGAAAATGGTCCTGGGATAATTCATGACCCACTAATATTTGCTGATGCTTTATATTGTATTTACCTAATAACTAGTGGTGTTAAGTATTTTTTCATACTAACCTGTTGTCCATTTGTGTCTTCTTTGGGGAAAAGTCTGTTTAAGTGATCTGCAAACATGTTCTCCTACTGTGTTGGAGGCCTTCTTACTCTGTGGATTCTTTCATTTGCTGTACATAATTTTAGTGTGATGTGCTCACCTTTATCTAATTGTGCTTTTGTTGCCTGTCCTTATGGTGTCATATCTATGAAATCATCACTAAACTTAATGTCATGAGGCTTTTCCCTTTTATTTCTTCTGAGAGTTTTATAGTTTCATGGCTTATGTTTAAGCATAAGTTGGCTTTTATTCATAGTTTAAGATGAGGGTTGATTTTCATTCTTTTGCATGTGAATATCCAGTTTTTCCAACAGTATACTTTTCCCACTATGTACTGTTAACACCCTTGTTGAAGATTAAGTTAACTAAATATGTGTGAATTGATTTGTGACCTCCTTATTCTGCTCCATTGGCCTATATGTCTGTCTTTATACCAATACTGTTTTGTTCAAGTACTGTAGCTTTGCAATACATTTTTGAAACCAGGATGTGTGATGACACCAGCTTTGTACTTTTGCATTCTGTTTCTTTGGATGTTTGAAATTGTCTGTGGTGTCACACAAAGTTTATGCTTTTTCTACTTCAAAAACTACCAAAGTTATTTTATAGAAATTGCATCGGATCTTTTATTGCCCTAGGTAGCAAATAAATTTTATCAAATGAAAATTTAAAGTGCAATTGCATATCACCTCATATCTGTTAGGCTATTATTAAAGAAGAAAGAAAAACAACAAGTGTCGACAAAGATATGAAAAAAGAACTCCTCAGGCACCGATGATACAAATGTAAATTGGTATAGCCATTGTAAAAGTATAGAGGTTCCTCAAAACATTAAAAAAAAAAAAAAGCTACTTTGTAAGCTACCAATTATTTCTGGGTATTTACACAAATTAATTGATATTAGAATCTTGGTGAGATATTGCACTCATGTTCTTTGTAGCATCACTCCCAACAGCCAAGATATGAGAACCACTAAAGTATCTTTCATGGAAAAATGTATTTTAAAAATCTGGTGTGTATGTATATAATGAAATGTTATTCAGTCTTAATAAGTGAGAAAATATTGTTGTTGCAATAATATGTATATCCATATTTTTGCTAAATTAAATAAATCAGACACAGAAAGACAAACACTGGGTGATCTCATTTATATGAATTATCTAAAATAGACAATCTCATAGAAGCAAAGAGTAGAATGGTGGTTTCCAGGGACTGGGAGAAGGGGGACATTGGAAGTTGATGGTCAAACATAAAAAGTTTGAACTGTTTGAATTAAATAAGTTCAGGTAATCTATTATATAGTTTAATGCCTATAATTAACAAAACTTTTGTATACTCAAAATTACTAAGAAGGTAGATCTTACATTAAAATTATAACAGCAATAAAAGAAAAAAAAAAGAAACTTTAGGAGGTAAGGATTTGCTTATGACCTTGATAGTGGTGATGTTTTCATGGGTGTACTCATCCCCAAACACTTTAAGTGAAGTGTATTAAATATATACGTAACTTTATACTTCAGTTAGTCCCCAAAGGTGGTCTTCTCCAGCTGTTCAGTGGTAACAAATCCACCTGAAATACAGGAGATTCAGGAGATGCCGGTTTGATTCCTGGGTCAGGAAGATCCCCTGGAGGAGGAAACTGCAGCTCACTCCAGAATTCTTCTCATGAAAATTCCATAGAACAAGGAGTCTGGTGGGCCACAGTTCTTGGGATCACAAAGTCATGCTTAGGCATGACTGAGCACAAGAACTGTATTTCAAGAAGTTGATTGTATTCAGATGTATAAATATATTGTATACAGATATATATATAATCTTTTAACATTAGATAAAACTTTAATAAAGAACCAAAATGAAATGCTAGAAGTCAAAAATGCTATACTCAAAATGAAGCATACCTTTAATGAATTTACCATTAAGCTAGATATGCCAGAAGAAAGAATCTGTGAACTTGAGGATGCATTAATCGAAACCTAGAAAATGGCAACAAGAGAAGGCAAGGAATAAAATGATTGATGGTTGCCAGAGATTTGAAGTAGGATGATAAAGAGACAGAGCACAGAGGACTTCTAGGGCATTGAAAACAATTCTATATAAGACTATAATGATGGATCTATGTCATTATATATATATTTTTCAAACTCATTGAACACACAACACCAAGATTGAATCCAAAGGTAAATAGTGGACTTTGAGTGGTTGTGATATGTCAGTGTGAGCTTATAAAATGTAAAAAATTACCACTTTGATGGAGAATATTTATAATGGGCATACATGTAAAATATCTGTATCTCCCTTTTAATTTCGCTATGAACCTATAGCTTCTCTTTATAAAGTCATAAAAAACTGAATGAAAATGATATGTCAAGCAGAAGAAAATCCTCATTAATAAGCCCAGAATATCCATCAAAATACTTCCTAAAAACAAAGAATACAAACAACTTGTTTAACAAATAAACAAGTCAAATATAAAGAAAATAGTGAAAGAAAAATAGATGACAACTTTGAAAAAATAATATCAAAATTTCTCTATTAGTCCCACAATAAGGATTTCTGAGATGTCACTTTAAAAATCAGCATATTATTGGAATCAACACTTTTCCTCCTAGCACAGGGTTCACATGAAAAGGAAAATATTAACACGAGCTATGATACTGAAACCTAACAATTTACAAACTCACCACTAAAAGAAGTAGACAATTTACTATGTGGGAATTGCAGAAAAATTAAGCTAGCTTCATGGAAAAGTCTTTACATATTTCAAATTGCAGATGGATAATTTTCCCCATGCCCATGTAGACTCAATCATTGGGTCACAAAGTGAATGTAAGAGGCCAAAATTGTTGACACCCAAGGTCACTGCATATATCAGAAATTCACAGAAGAGACTCTCTTCCAAAAGGACTGAGCTTCACCTTTAGGAAGCTGAGAAATGAATGTCAAAAACTAGGCCAAGACACTGGGGAGGGAAACTTGAAATAAGGGAGGAGTTTCTGTAAGAAGTATGTCTCAGAAAGTACTATTAAAGTAACATACAATGTCAAAAGTGTAGACAACAGTTTGTAAAGTAAGATCTATCTAGCTATGGGGCTCAAGAAACTCTAGGTAGAAGCTGTAATGAATTAGGCTTGCGTTTAGTCACTCGGTCATGTCTGACACTTTGAGACCCCTACTGAAAGTTAAAGTAGTAAGAAAATGACAGTATTTTAAGACTATAAAAACATAGGAGACATCATTTGAGCATGAAATTTAAAATGTTAACTTCACCAATTCAATATAAATGTGTGTGT